GCCCATTTTTGACAAAGCAAATGAGAAATTCATGCAATTTATTGTGTTCTCACATAACATATCTATAGATGAAGAAATGGTTTCGTACTTTGGACGACACTCGTGTAAAATGTTTATCAACGGCAAGCCAATAAGGTTCGGTTTTAAACTTTGGTGTATTTTTTCAAGTGATGGATATATGTACAAGTTCGTGCCCTATCAAGGTACATCTGCTGAACCAGAGTTATTCTGGAGTTATTATCAATTATAAAAATTAAGAATAATCACAACATATTTTTCGACAATTTCTTCTCATCCTATGGTTTATTTCGAACACTGAAAGAACATGGATTTTTTGCAACAGGCACTATAAGAGCCAATAGAACAGAAGGGTGTCCTCTACAGTGTCCAAATCTAATGAAAAAAAGCCCTAGGGGTTGTTATGACTCTTACTTTGAGGAGAATACGCACATTTCTTTAGTAAGATGGCACGATAACTCAATAGTTACATTGATCAGCACTCATTACCATATTGAACCATTGGAAACTGCAAGGAGATACAGCTGACCACAAAAAAAATTGTTAGTGTTCCACAGCCTGCAGTTATTTACCAATATAATAAAAATATGGGTGGTGTAGATTTACATGACAATGGTGTATCCAACTACCGGATAAAGGTTATGGGTAAGAAGTGGTGGTGGCCACAAAATATATAATATAGCAAATGATAATAAAATGTCGCAAATCGACTTTAGATCTTACCTAGCTTTGCGACTTTTGAAATTCTAAAATACCAGAGAATCTCAAGCGGCTCCAGTAAATGTACCAAATGAATTTCGCACAGATCATAGCCTGCAGTTATTTACCAATATAATAAAAATATGGGTGGTGTAGATTTACATGACAATGGTGTATCCAACTACCGGATAAAGGTTATGGGTAAGAAGTGGTGGTGGCCACAAAATATATAATATAGCAAATGATAATAAAATGTCGCAAATCGACTTTAGATCTTACCTAGCTTTGCGACTTATTAAATTCTAAAATACCAGAGAATCTCAAGCGGCTCTAGTAAATGTACCAAATGAATTTCGCACAGATCATATGTGAGTGTGCCATAAGCATACAGTATATACCTACGTGCCAAAAGTGCAAAGTTCATTTGCACGCCAACTGTTTTTCGCAATACCATTGTTAACGGATTTAGCCAGTGGTGCGCACCAGTGTTTTTTTTTTTTGTAAATTACGAACATGAAAAATTTTTTTGTTATATTTTTTTCTTAATTAGGCTTGACTTTAATGAATAAAACTACTTTGGTCAAATTATATTCGTTTTTATTACCCTTGGTAAAAGATGGGTTATGTATTTAAATCCGTTATTAACAGCATTATTAAAATGTTTTACTACTTTTTCCTTATTTTAGCAAATTCAGCAATATCATTCTTTGTACGTAAAAGCGTAAAGCTTTAATGAGTTGGTGAATATTCAAAAATGAAAAACGGTCTCTACATGTAGTTAATGTCTTTTTGTATCTGGAGAAATGCTGAAAGCAAATGAATCGCTTATTTATGAAAAGATATAAGTCCCTACTTTGAGATTATGACGAAAATTTGTTTTCAATACTTATATCTAACGTTTAGTCATAAAAGAATATGTCTTCAGTACTGTGTGTCTGTGGCAGCCAACAAAATACTTCATCCATGATACTATGATAAGAAGATAAGATATTGCGCATAAGTCGTGACGTCATTGGAGAGTTGCACGTTCGAAATGTCAGTTTTTTGTATGTGTCAATAAATAATCCTTAATAAATAGTTTGGAGATATCCTTATGTATACAATTATTGTAATTATTGAACTTCTTAACTTATTTTCGTCCAGTAATTTCATCACAGAATGCACACAAATCCCATTTAACTTTAACAAGAATTCAAATTCTACTCTCCAATGACGGCATGCGCGAACACTACCGATTTTGGGCTACGGGAAGATACTATCTTGTTATTCATAGTATCATGACTTTATCTATTTATGAAGTCTTTGATATATCGTTTATAAATTTGCCGCTGATCTTTGACTGGCGCTAGTAGTGTCATGAATACAGCGACTTTGCTTGGTGATAAATGACAAGCAGGTTGATTTGTTGTTGTTTATAGACAAATACTTTTATATTTCGGCGATTGTTGTGTAGAATACTACATATTCGATTTAATATGAGTGATACTGAGATTACAAAAAAGAGAAACAAGGGAGTTAAAAACCCAGATGAGTATAAAACTTTTAAAACTAAGAGAAATCGGTTGTTGGGATAACCATGTACAAATTACCAAGGACACGTGGAGCCAGGAAAGGCTATTGGAAAACTTTGCACGTAAGTTTCAAATATTTTTATTATTTTTGTAGTTTATTGAATAATTTTGTTTTATTGAAGGTGCAAGTCAAAATGTTTTGAAAAAATACGCGCAGCAGTCAAAATTGAGATAATGAAAAAATTATATTCTTTTTCAACAAAAAATGAACAAGATATGTATCTGCAAGGTTTAATAGAGTCGAAAGTTAATAAGAAGAGAAGGCCTCGTAAAGAAGAAGCATCACAAATAACTTCATCCTTTGACAAAGTTTGTAAACATGCATTTTTAAAGTTACATGGCATAAGTTCTAAAGCAGTACAACGCTTACAAGCTCTTTTGTATTTCGGAAAATCTCCTAAATTTTTGAGGGGTCTACAGAATTATAGAAAAACTGTTCCTGGTGATATTATGCACATTGTACGTAAGTCATTATTCATCCAAAGAATACCAAGACGCAAAGTTTAATGAAAAAATTATGCATTTCTTATTCAAAGAGAAACATGCTGAAGTTAATATCAAATATTCAACATATTATGCCATTTTTAAAGAGCATTATGACTATAAATTTGGGCGACCGCAAGTCGATTCATGCTACCAATGTGAAGAACTTATTATTAAATATACAAGTTCTACTTTAAATAAAAGAGCTGCCTTAGTTGAACTTATGGTGCATAAAAGACGCTCTAAAAAATGGTATCAGGGCATTTAAAATACGGAAAAAATGTGTAAAGAAAATGACAAGCGTTATTGGAATTTGCTTCGATTATACGCAAAACATTTCATTACCGTCGATTTTAGTTCAAGATATTTTTTATTTACGTCAGCTATCAGTATTTCCATTCATCATTCATAGCTTAAAAGACAACAGTGCCCAATTTTGTCTTTACCACGAAGGCGTGGCTAAAAAAGCTACAAATGAAACTTTTTCTTTTATTTTCAACTATTTAAAGCAAAACATACCTACTATAGTAAAAAAAACTTCATCTCTACAGTAACAGTTGTGATGGCCAAAATAAAAACTTTTTATTCAACGTTTTTTTATTTAAAAAAAATTTATTCAACGTCCACAAAATGAGTCATTTGCAGTTTCCAGTTTTATGGAGTTTCGCTACAGTCATACAAAAAAAGAGCTTGTTGAAGCATTGAAGTTTATCGATGGAACACAGAACACCGAAAATGTTCAACTTCCAAAGGAAAGAGCTTATCCTATTGGAAACACTTCCAATTAACATTAAAAAAATCAATAATATTCAAAAGATAACTAGATATCTTCCTGAAAATTATCAAGAATTTTATGAGGAAATAATTGTATTAAATTGGCCAAATATATGGCCTAGGAGGACAAATTCGTTAAACTTCCCGTGCTCGAATCGGTATCACTAAAGTGTTATGATCATTTCGGCCTATCCCAGCCATCGTCAGACACTTGGGCTGATACAAATTCAAACACGGAAAGTAGAACAAATGTCTCCTAAAGCTTCACCACTGCAGTGGTTTGCGAGCAGAGGCGCCACCTACTTTGGCGGCCGTGAACGAAAACGATATAATCACATCGTTTTCTACCTCTGGGCTATGTGAAATGTATAAAGAATAAATCTTTTAGCAAAAAGCTGCTATCGCTTTGTTGTATTAAATTGGCCAAATATATGGCCTAGGAGGACAAATTCGTTAAACTTCCCGTGCTCGAATCGGTATCACTAAAGTGTTATGATCATTTCGGCCTATCCCAGCCATCGTCAGACACTTGGGCTGATACAAATTCAAACACGGAAAGTAGAACGAATGTCTACTAAAGCTTCACCACTACAGTGGTTTGCGAGCATAGGCGCCACCTACTTTGGCGGCCGTGAACGAAAACGATATAATCACATCGTTTTCTACCTCTGGGCTATGTGAAATGTGTAAAGAATAAATCTTTTAGCAAAAAGCTGCTATCGCTTTGTTGTATTAAATTGGCCAAATATATGGCCTAGGAGGACAAATTCGTTAAACTTCCCGTGCCCGAATCGGTATGTGTTATGATCATTTCGGCCAATTTAATACAAAGCGATAGCAGCTTTTTGCTAAAAGATTTATTCTTTACACATTTCACATAGCCCAGAGGTAGAAAACGATGTGATTATATCGTTTTCGTTCACGGCCGCCAAAGTAGGTGGCGCCTCTGCTCGCAAACCACTGCAGTGGTGAAGCTTTAGGAGACATTCGTTCTACTTTCTGTGTTTGCATTTGTATCAGCCCAAGTGTCTGACGATGGCTGGGATAGGCCGAAATGATCATAACACTTTAGGATACCGATTCGAGCACGGGAAGTTTAACGAATTTGTCCTCCTAGGCCATATATTTGGCCAATTTAATACAACAAAGCGATAGCAGCTCTTTGCTAAAAGATTTATTCTTTACACGAGAAAATAATTGGTCTTAGGATTATACAAGATGAGTATACAAAATTGACGTATGAGTATCTTGTAAAAAACTGCTTAATGTTTGGTTTTTTAGGTTAAAATATTTTGTTAATGACTGGTAATATAGTTTGTCAATAAACGTTTCTTTTTTGTTAATATGAGCAAATTCTTCAAAACATAATAGTTTAGACATTTTTTTTGTCAATTAATTCGTGAAAAGATATAAGTAAGAGGAATAGAATAACAAATAAACACTATCTCATTAGCATCAATTTCTCTCCCAACTTGAATGTTTATGAGAGTCAAGCCGTTCAGTATCTAACCATTCCAAAGCTGGTTTTAAAATAAGGGAGGTGAGAGTCATAGCCGCTTTCCACACTTTAAGTTTTGCTTTGATGACAGCTGTACTTTTTTCGGACAGCACTACCAAATACATACAAAGTGCCTCTTCAATTTCACAACCAGCCGCAAAATTTGACGGTAACCCACCATATACTGTGTCAGATGGAACATCGGCACCATAAAAAGTATTATACATCGATTATATTCTTTTCAAAAGTCTTAGTCTCTTTAATCATTTCAATTGCCCAGTCCAAAATCTCCTATAATGGAACTGTTTTTTCCTATCTTTGTTTAAAGTATGTTAATAAGGTCTCAATTAAACTACTGTATTGGCTGAACATATTTTAATAATATTCATACATTACAACATGATCATGTCGCCCATTGTCCCCGTTGGGAAGTGGTGTTGACTTGACATTGACATATTTGACAGTTACCAGGTTTACGTTAAGCCTATCTTACATTAATGTCAAACACCTTCCCCTTAAAGATTAAGGCGTACCCTAGGTTTAATTGTACGTCCGAATTTTTAAACATTACATTTCTTACTATCATTATTTTTTGAGCAGCTATAATGATGACTTACAATATCAGTATTCCTATGTTCATTAAACAAATTTGTTAAATCATTATCCTGAATACATACATTATTTAAATCATTATTATCATTATCCTTATAACTATTTGGGTTTGTGTGTGGATACAACTCAGGTTCAAGATACCTGATTTTGTATGTGATGGTCTTATGTGTCTTGTGTTTCTTCTAACTATCCTATTATTGCATTCCTTTCTTATCCGGTACGATCTGGGTTCTTTAGCTTTTTCTACAATAACAGCTTTATACCATACTTTATCAACACTACTCTTAACAACTACATTATCCCCCCTTTTATAAGTTGTTGGTGTACGTTTACTATGTTTATCATACTGAACTTTTGTTTTTTGTTGTTGGTCCGATAACAGTTTATAAATCTCATTCTGAATTTTAGGTTGTAATTGTTCACTATTTACTGGTATTTCTGTTCTCAAAGATCTACTATTTAATATTTGTGATGGAGATGCACTTAATGAAATAATAGCAATATTATTATATTCTAAAAATAACTCACGATAATCAGAGTTTTCTGTAAAACTTTTTTTTTAAATTTGTTTACAAATTCCTACAGCCTTTTCAGCAATGCCATTACTTTGGTGGTAATGAGGTGAACATGTCAGGACTGTAATTTGTTTATTATCGTAATATTTTTTACACTTTTTTCTTCTTTATATCATATTCCTTTTTCTCTATCTTCTGTGTATGATTAATATTTCCTGTGTTATATTGAAACTGTAGAATTGTTCTGCAGAATTCTATAGCTTTATTTAAACTTAATTTGTCTATTCGCAGGAGGGCTTCTCGTGTGGTCGGATCCCTAATTCCCATAACAATTTTGTCTCTTAATGCCTTGTCTTCACATGACTCATCGGGATCTAGGGCATTGTAATTGCAACTTCTAACCAAATGTCTGCACTCTGTCAAAAAATGTTCAAATGTCTCCCCATCTTCTTGTACTCGTTTTATAAAGTTGTACCTCTCAAAGCATTCGTTAACTCTTGGGTTCACATACTTATCTAACAGCTGCATTGTGAATTCATACTTATTAGTTCTTCATCAGGGATAACAAAAATAGCCATAATCCGTGCTGATTCATGGCCAATAATATTTCGCAGGATGGATAATTTCACCTGATCTACAGCGTCGTGTTGTCCTGTTGCTACTAAATAATCTTCGAATGAAATTTTCCAAAATTTCCATTCAGAAGCGGCACTCTGACCCTGGAGGTCGAAATCTTGGGGTAACTTAACATAACCTATTCCATTGACCATGCTTGCCATTTTGGGAACACTTAAATTTTTCTTTTTGATAAACTTAGCACTTAACTTTATCCTTGGACACGTAGATTCCATGAATTGACTGCGCCATGTTTAAAGTATGTTAATAAGGTCTCAATTAAACTACTGTATTGGCTGAACATATATTAATAATATTGATACATTACAACATGATCATGTCGCCCATTGTCCCCGTTGGGAAGTGGTGTTGACTTGACATTGACATATTTGACATAGTTACCAGGTTTACGTTAAGCCTATCTTACATTAATGTCAAACAATCTTAACATTTAGGTCACCCATCAGAATGGTGTAATCTCCAATCGTGAGTTTGTCAGTAACAGTTTTTATATCTGCGTGGAGCTTCTCATGTTCTTCTAGTTGTCTTTCCACTGTCGGTGCCTACATTTGTATTAAATTATTGTTTCTGAGTTTCACTGAATCATTATAACTCGTTCAGATACCTGGTATTTGCTTACCTCCCTTAAAACGATGATTCCTACACCATTACGATGATAAACGCTCAGGAGCATTCTTATACATTTGTAATTCCACATCCACGGGCTCACACTTACATTTATACTTAAGCACACTCACCACACTACCCACAAGAACAATATTATGCTCACCCACATAGATACTCACACACATCTTTCAGTACCCTGATATTTGTTGTATTCTTCTATGTTTTTATTTTTCTGTTTTCGTATGCTTTCTATAGGTACTACTACTACTAGGCACGGGTAGGAACTCCTTTTTGGATAGTCCTATCAGGAAAAGTAAATCAGTCCCTGCCTTCCGCAGATTCCAGGTGTTTCCTGACCAGCGAAACTAGTACTTGTTAAGAGTCCCTTGTCCAGTGTCACGGATGAAGTCCACAACGGCATCCAGGGCGGAGAACGGAAGTGGCAGCCCCCTGGTTTTAGGGCTTGTTTAAAATCGAAGGGTAGGTGAGACTCTCTAGCTGTAGTGGAAGCAACTCACATAGGAGAAGGATACTCTGATGTAAAATCCCTGGCCCTCCAGGTTGGGGATTAGGCACCGGGCCAACTTCTCGGTACTCATAAAACACGTACAAGGTTAAGAAGCCTAACCAAAGCCTCGGAACAAAAGATTGGAAATACAGTAGACGAAAACAGCAAAGAAAACGGTTAATGAATTTTTGTACATGGAATGTGCAAGGTATCTCCTGAAAAACACCAGAAATCATGTCAGAACTCAAAAATGCAGAGATAGATATCGCAGTGCTTACAGAAACTAAAAAGAAGGGTATGGGTTCGGAAAAGTGGGGTCACTATGACCTGTTCTATAGTGGAGTAACGTAAAGACCAAAGAGCACAACAAGATGTTGCTATTGTTATTCACAAAACTTTAAGAATACATATTACCTCTTGGGAACCAATTAATCAGAGATTGATAAAAACGAACATCACGATAAAAGGAAGTAGAATAGCCATGCTAGGTGTTTATGAAATTATTGAGAACGCATTGGTCAATAGTAAAGATGCATTTTTCGAACAACTGAACGATGAAATTATAAAAGTAGGAACATCTAGGGAGATCATACTTCTAGGAGACTTCAACAGAAGAGTTGGATGGGAATTGAACAACAAAGTGGTAGGAGCACACGGTGAAAATACCATAAATTATAATGGAACCAGATTAATAACAGCATGCACACAAAATAACTTAAAAATATTAAATGGATTTTATCCACATCACGATATACACAAATACACGTGGATACAACAGACAGGAATCTGAAATTTTTAATAGATTATAGCATTGTAAGACAGATAACTACAATTAAAATACAAGATGTTCGAGTAGCCAGAGGGCCATCATGTGACACCGATCATTATTTGCTAAAAGTTAAAACGGTACTTCCAAAAAAGAAGAAGAGCACATGGAGAAAAATCCGTTAATAAAACAAGTACGGTACAACCTAGACAGTTTAAACCATGAGAGTGTAAAGCTACTGTTTAAAAAACGATTAGACCAAAAATTAGAAATGGGTAGTTTTGAAAATACCGAAGAACACTACGAACACATTAAAAGGTCGATTTATTTAGCAGCAGAAGAAGCACTGGAGAAATGTGACGAAAACCATAAAGGAATAAAGGAGATTGATTCATTTTCCCTGATAGGACTATCCAGAGGAGTACCTACCCGCTACCTACGCACATACATGCCCCAAACTCCTATATGATCTCACATTGCAGGGAAGCTAGTCCAAAGCTACAAAGCGCGTCAACAGTTTGCTGATAGGAGCGGGCCGACTTGGAAGGTAGTTCGACCCGTCTCGATTGCACCTACCAGAGAGTTGGACAACGGACAATGCGCATGAATAACGTATACATCATCCGATTTTATTTATTCTCAATCTAACATAGTAATGACCTTCGGGTAACTTTAGGTAAACCTTAAAATGTCTCAAACTCGATTTGATAGAGGTTCTTCTTCTTCTTCTTTCTAGTATGGAGGCTTTAAAGCCAGTTTCTTCTTCAATATTAGTCTCCTAAATTGTCGCATCATCTTTTTCTTGGTTTGCCAATACTTCTTCGTCCATTCGGTGACTTATCTCGTGCTATTCGTACTATTCTATCGTCTGCCATTCTACTGATATGTTCGTTCCACTCCTGTTTTCATTTTGTCACCCATCCATTTATGTTTTCTATATTGCATGCTCTTCTTATGTTTTCGCTTCTCTCCCTATCCAATAGACTTCTCCCTGATATTCTTCGGAGTATTTTCATCTCTGTTGTTTCTAGCAGTCGTCTCGTTTTAGATGTGTCAAGTCTTGTCTCCGCCGTGTATGTTAATATAGGTCCAATTGCTGCTTTATAGATTCTTGTTTTTGTGTCTTGTCTTAGGTGTTTGTTCTTCTAATTTGTGTCATTAAGAGAACCCGCCGCTTTACTTGCTTTTAAGCTTTGTTGTCATATTTCTTCTTCAACATCTCCGTAACTAGTTATATCTAAACCTTGCTTCCTGCTTTATTATTTCCCATCAATTTCGATTTTACACCGTGGTGTTTAGATGTTGTCATACATTTGGTTTTGTCTGCTGATATTATCATATTGTATTTTTTAGCTGTTGTATCGAAGATATGTGTTAATCTTTGGAGCTCGTATTCTGTCTCGGCGATTAATGCGGCGTCGTCTGCATAACATAATATTTGGATTTTCTTTGTTCTTCATTCTGTAGCCATGACCTTTACGTACTGCTTGTATTATTTCGTCCATTATTATATTAAAGAGAAGTGGGCTCAACGAGTCACCCTGTCTGACTCCACTTTGTACTGGTATACACTGTGTTAGTTTT